TTTAGCTGGTATTTTCCTCTCTCTCATTTACGGTTCCTATACAAGTTATATATTGTTTTTTTCAGGACAAGAAGGGCTTTCTTTACATACCATTATTTGTATCATGTCATATATTTTATTTTAAAAAAATAATAAAATATGGTGAGAAATTGAAAAAAAAAAAACATGTGTTTGGACTTTTGCTTGAAAAATCTTTTACTTATCTACAAAAGCTAATGAAAAATAAAAATGCTAAATAGTTTCAAAATTTTGTCCCGAATTTAAAAACACCCAGTGTTTTCATGCTTTATTGCAAGTTATAGGCCTATAAATACAAGTAGGAATTGCTATTTCAACATATATATATATTTTACATTTATCAATAGTGACATTGTAACACTGTTATCTGTCATAAATCCCCGAATCACACCTCACATGTACATATTTTTTTTAAAGTAGACAACCCAGGGTATTCAACATGGGGTATGTCCAGTCTTTTTAGTAGCCACCTAGTCACAAACACTGGCCAAAGTTAGCATTTATATTTGTTTGTGTGTTAAAAAAATCAAAAAATGCTAACTTTGGCCATTGTTTGTGACTAAGTGGCTACTAAAAAAGGCTGAACATACCCCATTTGCAATACCTTGGGTTGTTTTCTTTTGCAAATGGTATGCCATCATGGGGGTAATTCTCTTTCCTGGGCTACCATACGCTCTCAAAGGCAACCTAACCAATCTGACAAATTTCAATAAAAAAAAAAGAAAAAGTAAAATCAAGCCTTATATTTGACCCTGTAACTTTCACAAACACTATAAAACCTCTACATGTGGGGTACTGTTATACTCAGGAGACTTCGCTGAACACAAATATTAGTGTATCAGAACAGTAAAATGTATCACAGCAATAACATCATCAGTGAAAGTGCAGTTTGTGTGTGAAAAATGCAAAAAACTTCAGTTTTACTGACAATATCATCGCTGTGATATGTTTTACTGTATTGAAACACTAATATTTGTGTTCAGCGAAGTCTCCCGAGTAAAACAATACCCCCATGTACAGGTTTTAGGGTGTCGTAGAAAGTTACAGGGTTAAACACAGTGCTAGCGAATTAAATTCTCTGGACTTTTGGCCTGGGATGTCAGGCATGTCCCTCAAATTGCAATCATTAAAACTAGAAAAGCTAAAATGTCTGGGGAAATCGTGTGAAGTGTTCTTGCCTCCACCAGTAGTCTACAACTGGAGTGGGCGAAGTAACTGGGTGAAGTGGCTTGAGTAACTGTTGTGTGGTTGGAGTGGCTGGAGTAACTGTGGAAAGGTTGGACTGGGCAGAGTAACTGTGCGGAGTGTTTGGAGTGAGTAAAGATAGTAAACATTACACTAACCAATTGACTGATCAAATTTTAAAAGTGCACATGGAAAGCTTGAGTGAGAAATGCATTTCAACTTTTATTTATTTATATAGCACGTTTAATTGCAACGTTGTTGCCCAAAGTGCTTAACATTTACATTAAAACATTTATAAAAACATTAGCAGGTGTACAAAAGGCCCTGTCTATAACATCACTTGCTGCTCCAGCCTAGCACAGGTCAAAGTATTTTGGCGGTTGCCATCTTCAAACGGTCGTATTTTAAAAACTATAAATCCTACAGCGAAGAGCTTTATATTGTGAGAATCTAGACATTTTGATGCATAGTATGTCTCTGAAATATTAACAATGAAGGCACAGTTACCGTTTAGAAATTGCCCTTCAAGTTTGAGCTGACTAGAGTGGAGTTTCAATGAAACGGCATGAGTTGCAAACAAATGGTCATATTGTGAAAACTATCAGGACTATGGCTTAGCCGTGGACATTTTTAGTGGCAGCAGGGATAGCTGAACGTTTTGATATAAGCTTTGTGTAGGTGGGCTTGAAAATGAGGGAGTAGTGGCAGTTTAGAAATCATGTCCTGATTTTCCAGCTTTTGCCAGCTCCCACTCTAGTTTTGAACATTTTGCCATTCATTCCTATGGGACCAATTTCGCCACAAGAACAACGATATTCTGTGAAACATTCAGCGAAACGTTCCACAAAGTAATAGCAATCCGATAGGGAACAATCCGCACGTTTCGGTATATTACTGTCTATGTAGTGTAAAAACTGTGGGAGGAGTTAGGGTGGCAAATTTGGCTATAATAAGAATAATAATAATATATATGTGAGATAACATTAAGTGGTCTTGCTGTGCAAGAACACTTAATTACTTGATTAGGTAAAACTATTACATAAATATGCACGTAGAATTTTAATATATATATATATATATATATACACATATTTATATATTTGACGTCTACGTGTATATTTATGAAATTATTTATGTAATTATGTATATGGACATATGTATATTTCGTATTATTTTTATTTATTTATACATAGATATATATATCATTACATTTTAAGTGTATTTTGATATAAATATATATATATATTAATATTAAAGGACCACTATAGTGCCAGGAAAACATACTCGTTTTCCTGGCACTATAGTGCCCTGAGGGTGCCCCCACCCTCAGGGACCCCCTCCCGCCCGGCTCTGGGGAGAGGAAAGGGGTTAAAACTTACCTTTTTCCAGCGCTGGACGGGGAGCTCTCCTCTTCCGATCCTCCTCCTCCTCCTCCTCTCCGCCCATTCGGCTGAATGCACACGCGCGGCAAGAGCTGCGCGTGCATTCAGCCGGTCGCATAGGAAAGCATTTACAATGATTTCCTATGGACGCTTGCGTGCTCTCACTGTGATTTTCACAGTGAGAAGCATGCAAGTGCCTCTAGCGGCTGTGAATGAGACAGCTGCTAGAGGCTTTGGAGGAAGGCTTAACCTATTTATAAACATAGCAGTTTCTCTGAAACTGCTATGTTTATAAAAAAATTGGTTAACCATATCTGGACCTGGCACCCAGACCACTTCATTAAGCTGAAGTGGTCTGGGTGCCTAGAGTGTTCCTTTAAAATACTGTTAGAATAAAAGTACATATATATATATATATATATATATATATATATATAAAAAAAATTTTAATTTTTAAAAATTATTTTTACTTTTTTAAATTTATTTTTATTAACATATTATTTGTATTTTATAATAATATATATATACAATATATATAGTTATTATATATATATTGTACATATACGTGTGTAATTTAAATATAAGTGTATTTTTATATTAATATACGTATATATAAATATAAAAATACACTTAGTATGACATTATATATATATATATATATATATATATATATATATATATAACATATATATTTAATTTTTTTTATTTTGCAGGTGCAGGGAGACTGCCTGTCAGCACAGACAGTCCCCCTGTAGGCAGATACACAGGCACCTATTGCGGCCACGTGATCACTCGATCGACCGCGTGATCACTCGACCGCAGGGTCCTGATCTGCCGCGGGGAGACTACCTGGGCAGACAGGCAGTCCCCCTGGACCGGGAGGAGCGCTGATCGCCGCCGGGGGACCGACGGCGATCAGGTAAGTACCCCCAGACCGTCCTCAAGGGGATGTTTCCGATGACGGTCCTGAACCATTATCGGTCGTCAAGGGATTAATAAAACATGTATTTATTTATTTTTAAAATATTTAACCAGGATGGATACATTGAGATTTCCCTCCTTTTCAAGTATGTCCTGGGTTATACTTGTTATATATATATGAAGGTTTCATGTGAAAGTACAAAAATTTTATTGTGGACCATTGTTAATGATCCCATTTTAATAAAGGAACACTCCAAGCACCATAAGCACTGCAGCCTGATGTAGTGGTTATGGTAACAGGAATACCTTAGCTCTCTCTAAGAGTAAGAAGTCAAACTATTTAAGGATGGTTTGACGACAACCCAGGTTCCGCCAGGCGCCTTCCATTGCCACCCTTGCTGTAGGGAACACTGAGCTAAGCCCAGCAATACAAAGACTAATAGAGAAGTGAGGCGATGGCTTGAGCCCATTTGTAAACAGTTTGACTAATTACTCTGTGAGGGTGCCAGGGCACTCCTGGCACCATAAGCACTACAGCAGGTTGTACTATAGTTTTTTTTATTTTCAAGCAATTGATTTATTTTAAAGGAAATGCTGCAGTTTATTTCACTTTGTTTAACTAGTGCCCCATGCTGTATAGAATTGACAATAAATAATTAACAAGGGCACTATAAAATACAATGCATTGCACGCCAATTGTCAAAACTCACTAAAATTACAGGAGAAGGCTATGAAAATTAAAATGGAATAGTGTGGTCGCTGCAGTAATAAATAAACGTTTTTTTGTGAGTAATTCAAATAATTATTAAAATATAAGTAATGACACAAGGTATAAGAAACATCAATCCCGTCATCAAGTAGAATTCTGAAAAAGGGCCAAAAAGGTCTGCTCAATAATAGAAAACCATAAATAATTAAGTAAAAATTATGTCAGAGGAGAACAAGAAAGACAAATAAAATGTTCCTCCTTGTGTTACCAGACATGCCAAGCAGCAGTTCTACACAGCTGAGAGACAAGGATGGGAGAAGGTATGTAGGCTGATTGTGGTGTTGGGGGAGACTGTTTGCAGTGTTGTATGTTTATGGAGACGCTGTTTGTGGGGGTACTCGCTTGTGGTGTTGCTTGTTTCTGGGAATGTTTCTTGTGGGGCTATGTAAGAGTGCAGCTTGTGTATTTGGAGGTGGGGGGTGGGCTGCTTGCAGGGTTTAGTGTTTGGGGGAGATGCTGCTTGTATGATTGCTGGGGCGAGTCTGTTGTGGGGTTATGTGTGTGTGTGGATGGGGCTGTTAGTGGTGAATATGTTTGTGTGCATTTAAATAGGGGCATGTTTGTGGATTTGGGCTGTAATGGTGTGTGCTTAGGGGCATAGTTCTGCATTGGGTGTTTAGGGGATACAAGCTTTAGTGTGTATTTAGGAGGAAATTGGAGCTGGTGGGCGTGGCGAGAGATAACTGGGGCTGTAGTGTTTGTGTAAGATTGTTTTATTACAGTAACTGCTCCAGGGGTGAGATAGTCTGTAGTTACCCAGTGTGCCCTGCTCCAGGGGTGAGATAGTCTGTAGTTACCCAGTGTGCCCTGCTCCAGGGGTGAGGGAGCCTGTAGTTACCTTCACAGATGTTTGTGGAGACACAAACCTTTCCATTTCTTACAGACTGCATGTTATGGATGACAGCTTTGCCGTGGTTTCCAGCATATCAACAAATAGGAGGAGTGAGAATAAACTTTATTTAGAGACTTTGCCGGGCCAAGGATTCCCACAGAAGCCAGCAGGGCCGGACTGGGAAAAAAATTAGACCCGGGCATTTTTCAATCAGAGCAGCCCCCCAAGAAGGGGGCGGGGCCAGAAAGGGTGTACTTTGTCATCACTAATGACAAGCAAGCCCCCCCTCAAAGTGAGCATGTTGGTTCAATGCGCAGAGACCCGCTGAAGAGCTCTGGCATTAGAAAAAGGCCCTGAATTTGTTCTGCGCAGCGCAAGTAAATTTAATAACATGCTTGCGCTGTGTTTGCTTTTAGATTGTCTCTGGTGTCCCCACAAGTGGGATAGCAGAGGACAAAAGGGCCAGGAAAGTGTATGGTGCATGTGTTTTGAGCCTGCTTGTGGGATTGCGTGTGTGTAGAGTGTGGTGTGGTATTGTGTAAATAGGTCAATTCCATTTGTGTTTGTGGTGTAATATATGTGGTTAGAGGCTGTAGAGAGTGTGTGTGTATAGGGGCATAGTGTTATAGGGGATGTAGCGAGTGTGTGCATATGGGCTGTAGTGTGTGCGTATAGGTGACGTAGTGTGTTTAGGGGTTGTAGAGAGCAGGGGCGTATTAGCCGCGAGGCAAACAAGGCATTTGCCTTGGGCGGCATTTTTCAGGGGGTGGCAAAAAACGCCGCCCCCAAATGCCCAGGGCAAATGCCTTGTTAGCGGCTAACAGACATGCCAGGCGGGCGGGCGGCTGGCGAGGGAGCTCTTCCTCTGAGCTGACTGCTCAGCTCCCTCGCACGCCGCAGAATGAGGCTGGGAGCCGGAAGATGACGTCATATCAGAGGAAGTGCTCCCTCGCCAGCCGCCCGCCCAGCAGCCTGTGCCGCCCAGCCCGACCGGCAGCCACTGGACCACCAGGGAGAGAGAGACCCCCCCCAGCACTCCCAAAGGTAAGGAGGCTGGGGGGGGGATTAAAAAAAAGTAAATGTGAGTGATTGTGTGTGTGTGTTTGTGTCTGACTGTGTGTGTGTGTGTGTGTGTGTGTGTGTGTTTGTGACTGAGGTGTGTGTGTGTCTGACTGTGTGTGTGTTTGTGTCTGTGTGTGTCTGTTTGTGACTGAGGTGTGTGTGTGTGTTTGTGTCTGACTGTGTGTGTGTTTGTGTCTGACTGTGTGTGTGTTTGTGTCTGACTGTGTGTATGTGTCTGACTGTGTGTGTGTATGTGTCTGACTTTAAAATACGACCGTTTGAAGATGGCAACCGCCAAAATACTCTGACCTGTGCCAGGCTGGAGCAGCAAGTGATGTCATAGACAGGGCCTTTTGTACACCTGCTAATGTGTTTATAAATGTATGGTTTAATGTAACTGTGACGCACTTTGGGCAACAACGTTGCAATTAAATGTGCTATGTAAATGAATAATAACAGTTACTCTGCCCACTCCAGTTGTAGACTTCTGGTGGAGGCAAGAACACTTTACACAATTTCCCCAGAAATTGTAGCTTTTCTAGTTATTTTATTATTTATATAGCGACAGCAAATTTCATAACACTGTACAATCAGAGAAAAAGTACAGAGTACCCATAAAAGAGACATACATGGTTATTCAGCATATTTTATGAAATGCGTGTATGTGAAATTGAAATCAGAAGCTGCAAAAAAAGTGTACAAAAATAGCTAAACTGTGACTACACTTAAGTTGGAGATTTTTTTTTTTTCCAGATCAACTGTTTGTGCCTACAGTTTGTAATAAGGTTTTCACAAGACAAATTTTTTCAATAATATTCAGACTTTCAACAAAAATTGAGATTGGCAAAACATCAAGAGGAGTTTATTCATCAGTGATTTGAAGTGAATCAAAGTCAATTGCAAAATTCAGGCTAAAATAGTTGATTTGGGAAAGGGGGGGCGTGGCTAGCAGAGCAGCACACAGGACGTGTTTATGTGGAGCTCCTGCTTCACTAATCTAAAATTGATCCAAAAGCCATGAATATACCAAACTGAGACTCCAAAAACCAAGCAACAACATGCATTAGAGCCCCCTACAGAGAGATGGGGAAGAAAAACAAGAAAATCGCCCCCCTAGAAAGCTCACACCAACCTGACATTAGGCGATCTTTTGAAAAGCCACACCAGGCTCCACAGGCCAAGATGGCGCCGAATAGGCCACGAAACGCCAGCGAGTCCGACTCGTCTAAGGAGGAGGAGAACTTCCAGAACGAGACCCCGGCCACCGCATTATACAGGTCGTAGACGTCGGACTCTGATGACTCGCCTTCAACAAAGGGCGACATCAAAAAGCTCCTCCTAGACCTCCGGGAGATGTGGAGGTCGGACCTAGCCGGTGTGAGGACAGAAGTGGCAGACATGAAGGGGCGCCTGGAGGCAGTGGAAACCCGAGAAGGCCAAAGAGACGCCTTACTGACTGACTCTAGAAGGCAAACGGACATACTGACACTCCAACTCCAAAGACTCACTCGCACAGTCACGGAGATGGAGACGCTCCACCGCAGAAGAAATGTCCGCATACGCGGAGCCCCTGAGGACATAAGCCCAGAGGCCTTATTGGCCTACGCAAACAAAGTGGCAATGGCGATGGGTGCAAAAAAGGAGGGAGAGGGGGGCGTGGCTTGGACTCCAAGAGTGATGGCAGCCTAACTCCGGAGCTCCGCACCAGAGGCTCTGCAACCCGCCCGGCAACCTGCCTTTCTCAACCTGCAATTCACCCCTACACACAGCGCCAGTCTCGGCAAGCTCGCAGGGATCCCTGAGCACCATGTCACAGAGGAAGGCGGCGGGGAAGAAACAGCGTGGCAGCAATCAATCGGTCGCAGACATGCTGGCCGCCATTAAGCCCGCGCCACGTGGTGCACATGGCGCGGAAAGCCCGACGGGCACCTCCACTCCTGGCTCACCGGCCACGCCGACATCCTCCTTATTTGGGCACACGGAGGACCCCCAGAACGCTATACTCCACTCTCTGGAGGAGGTAAAGGGGTACCTGGCAGGGGAGATAGACAGATCAGCCAGGGAGGTGAAGGCAGAAATCCAGGCCATAGGCATTCGTACAGAGGCCTTAGAGAGCAGGCTGGAAGATGTGGTAGCAGCACACAATGAAAATACCACAGCCACAAACGCACTACTCACCAGGGTCGCTGAACTGGAAATGGAGCTGGAGGACAACTCTAATAGAACACGGCGCAACAACATGCGCATCAGAGGCCTGCCAGAGGAGGTAGGGGATGGAGACCTTGAGCAGCTACTGGCGCAGATCTTCCGCACCAGCCTACCACAGATACCAGATCAGCTGTGGCACATCGACAGGATACACAGGGCACTGCGAGCTAAGGGACCGCAAAACAGCCCTCCCAGAGATGTCATCATAAGGTGGTACTTTTTTTCCACGAAAGAAGCAATTCTCAAGCAAAGCAGGCTCCAGCCATACATGTATAAAGGAAAGACGCTACAGATCTACCAAGACATCGCTCCAACTACCCTCGCAAGAAGACGAGAATGGAAACCCATTGCTGACCTCCTCAGAGCCAAAGGCCTGCGCTTCGCATGGGGCTTCCCCTTTAAGATGCTTATCTTTAATGGCCCAAGACCGACAGTGCTGACACCATCCATGGACCCCAGAGGCGTCCTCCAAGAACTGGGCATTGAGGTACCGGGAGACCTGACCTTACCACCGAGGGGGCCCAGGGCGCTGGGACTGCTTCCCAGGGAATGGCTGGAACGCAGAGCGAGATAGGCAACAAAGATGGCGACCCGTACCTGAGGGACACGCAACATGGACAATACAATACGCAAGTTGATATATATGATTCATCATATCACAGGGACATGGCGGACATAGTTAAAATTGAAAACTGGTAGGGGATAGAGGGGACATGGGGTCTGATGAAAGATAGGGAGGGGAAGGAGGGGGAGATTACCCGAATGGAGAAGGGTACGAATATAGCCACTCCATATACAATTGGAAGAAAAAAAAAAAAAAGCAGGCAAACTCGCTAACATTAGGGGGGATGGTATATTTAACGACCCTCTTGGGGTTAACAACAAGCCATCCCACATATACTCCGGGGTGTCTGATCAAAAGGCAACAGGCTTAGACCAGACCAAACCATCGGCCATAGTACTGCTGGCAGAGGGCCCCCTATCGTAGGAGACGCTCAAATCGGGCATGATCCAGCTGTTTCCCACCAGACAAAGCCAGAGTAACTAGGCAAGGGCTTGGAAGGAGGAAGTGATAGGTGGGAGAGGGCATACATCCACCCCCCACCGGGGAAAGGTTCAAGGGGACACAACTGCGCAGCTAGCACTTCCACACAAAGGGGCACACAGTGAGGGGAAGCAAGTAAGGGAAAAGTTTAAAAAAGACAAAAAAAACCCCAAAGGGCCCAGGGAGAGGGATCAGATACCCAAGACACGGAGGAAAACAGCAGGACAGGCGAAGGGCCATTCAAACCCCCTCCCTCATGACACACCTATACAGATAGGCTCACAGGAGCCAGTGATCGTCACACCCACGACAAGTTAGACACAAGCTTAGAGCCTCGCGGGGGTGCTCTGGGGCTGTACACCCGCCCCGTTTGAGACACTTCTTGACGCGGCGGCTGGCCACCCCCGATCGACCTGGCGAGAGGTAAGACCGGGATTTTAGATCCGACAGGTAGAAGGATCACGGAGGATCATCCTCCACTAAGTTGGGATAAAGGTTTTATGGGTTATGTTAATAGGTTACCAATATGTGTTGTCATGACCTGTTTTCTTTCCTCCCCTACCCCGGCCCACGATTCCGCTGAGACAAGGCACATTCGGCAACCACCCCGGGGGGACCGCCGGGCGGCGCACGACAACAAGGCGGAAGCTCCGGATTATGCACCCACAAGGCAAAGAGGCACAAGGTACACTAGCACACCACTCGCATTATCACATGGCACTTAAAATTACATCACTCAACGTAAACGGCCTTAATGTGCCAAACAAACGCAGACTTTTACTCAGGGAACTACACAGACAGAAGGCAGACATAGCGTTCATACAGGAAACCCACCTCCCTAAGACCTCCAAGATTCAAATCATAGACCACATATATACAAAAGCATACGCGGCCCGCTCGTTCCGTAAGACAAAGGGAGTAGAAATAGTCATCCACAAACGATGCCCACTGGTCATACAGTCCATACACATAGACACGGATGGACGGTTTATAATCCTAACGGGGCTGATCAACGCATATATTGGGGTATATTGATCCTAGGGGGTGACCTAAACGCAGCGCCGTGTCCCGCGGTCGACCGCAGTGGCAAACCGGGACAACCCAGATCACAGGGTAGAGGAGGACAGGATCGCTTACTAAACAAATTTTTACAAAACACTGGGCTTCTGGATCCCTGGCAGTTGCAACACCCAGGTACACTAGACTATACCCACTACTCGGCAGTACACTCCACTTATTCCCGAATTGACGTATTCCTCACAAATCAACAGGGCATGAGATTGGTAAAATCGTCAGCCATAAATATGATATCCTGGTCAGACCACGCTGACATTGCCCTGACTCTCCACACACCGGGGCCTCGGGCCCCCTGGAGGTGGAGGCTTAACAACTCCCTCCTTAGAGACCAAGACACCCTAGAGCTACTTAAGACAGAAGTAAACAAGTACTTTGAATTAAACACCACGGTAGGAATGTCCCCCACTATGACGTGGGCGGCCCACAAAGCGGTCCTGCGGGGAACCCTAATAAAAATAGCGACACGAAATAAAAAACAAAAAATGGAAAAACTAACGGAACTGCATTAGGCCCTCCGTAAAGCGGAAATGCAACACAAACAGAACCCGACACAGCTCACACTAGACGACATACAAAACATCAGACATGCGCTGAAGAATCTCCTCTTGGATGAGGTAAGCAGAGATATCACCCGATCGAGAAGACTTTTTTACGAAAAGTCCAATAAAATGGATAAGTTATTAGCTAGAGCCCTCAGACCCAAACAAAAACACAAACACATCACATCCATCACCAACGAACAGGGCCAACCCCTCACTTCCCCACAGGACATTGCCGAGGAATTCACCAATTTCCTACGGCAAATATACAATCACTCCCCGGGGAAAGATGAAACCAACAGGGAACACGTAGAGGCAGTCACAAGCTTCCTGGCCAGCATAAACCTACCCAAACCAAATCGGGAAGATCTAACAGACCTAGAGTCACCAATTACGACAGAAGAAGTAGACAGGGCCATAGGATTGATAGAGGGCAATAAGACACCAGGACCAGACGGGTTTGACGGGGCCTATTATAAAGCACTGCGAGCAGAATTAGCACCTCACATGACAACAATGTATCAGGAATGGATGGAGGGGGGATGTCCCAACGCAGAGCTCGCCACGGCAAACGTGGTTCTTATCCAGAAACCGGGACGGGACGAATCGAAGGTGAACAATTACCGCCCCATCTCCCTGATTAACGTAGACTCCAAAATCTACGCCAAGATCCTGGCCATCAGGCTGGGTCACATTCTGCCCAGGCTGGTCCACCCAGACCAGGTGGGCTTTGTGCCAACTAGGCAACTATATGAGAACACTAGACGTGCAGTGGACCTGATCTGGTGGGCCGGTAAAACTCGGACGCCTTCTCTCGTCCTATCGCTGGACGCGGAGAAGGCCTTCGACAGGATCCAATGGTATTACTTGTTCGCCCTATTGCGCCACATAGGCCTACCAGAAAACTACGTCACAGCGGTCAAAGCACTGTACATGAATCCACAGGCCCAAATAGCCATACCAGGAGCGATCCCAAAACCATTTCAACTAAGTAACGGCACGAGGCAGGGCTGCCCTCTCTCGCCGCTCCTCTTCATACTAGCCCTAGAACCCCTCCTTTACAGGATTAGGGAACACCCAAACATAAAGGGACTGACAATAGCAACAGAGCAGTATAAAGTATCTGCGTACGCAGATGACATCCTGCTCACTCTCACGGACCTGGAGAACTCCCTCCCGAGTCTAGTCCGGCTACTAGAGGAGTTCGCCCAGGTGGCAGGTTATAAAATAAACATGGACAAATCAGAAGCCATGCCGCTGGGGTTGACGGCGGAAGACACGGCGCTAATAGGGAGGATGACGTATATAAAGCTAAACCACCAACATATTAAATACTTGGGGGTCAAACTAACAAAAGAGGTCTCACGACTGTATACGGAAAACTACACACCAATGATCAAAACAATAACAAAAGACTTAGAAAAATGGCATGAGAAGCCGATCTCATGGATAGGCCGTCTTAACGCAATTAAAATTAATGTATTACCGAGGATGCTGTTCCTCTTCCAGGCACTGCCCACGAAAGTCACGAAAGGGGACCTCCAATCCCTACAAACCAACATAGACCAATTTATATGGGCACACAAAAGACATAGGATAGCCTGACGCATACTCTACCGACCAAAGGGACTAGGGGGACTGGGACTTCCTAATCTTCACCTGTATTATCTGTCGGCACAGCTAGCCCAAATAATAGAGTGGCACTCACCCCCAGATAGACGCAGATGGGCAGACCTGGAATCCTTAGTGATGAGAAGCGACCTTCCCCAGTTTTGGATCTGGGTACCAAAAGCAGACAGACCACCCTTACTCACAGACTGCCCATCTATACTCAACTCTATTAAAATATGGGACGCCAACGCTCAAAAATATGCACTAACGAGAATGCCCTCACCTCTCACCCCATACTTGAGAAACAGGGCATTCACACCAGGTATGCGGGCGAGGGACTTTAAAGGTCTGGAATACGCAGGCCTGCAGAGATACTATCACCTATACGATGGAGACACACTCAAAACCTTTGACGAACTAAAACAGACAGCGCCATTACAGACTAGAGACTTTTTCAGATATATACAACTAAGGGACTTCGCTAACCATCCTAGAGTTAGAGAAGTAGCTAAGGCTCCAATGACTAGCTTTGAAAGATTATGCATAACAGAAACCACACGCAAGGGACTGATTACCGGGCTTTACGCACAACTTAGTGCCCCGGAGAGGAACGCAGAACCCCTCACCTATATCACCCAATGGGAGAAAGATCTACACCAAACACTGGAAGTGGAGGACTGGAGGGATATATGGGAAGCGACAGCCAAAGTCTCCATATGCGTAACACTTCAGGAACAGGCATATAAAACCCTCCTGAGATGGTACGCCACCCCGGCCAAATTATATAGAATGGGGAAAACCACCACAGATACTTGCTGGAGAGGCTGTGGTGAGAGAGGATCATACATCCACATGTGGTGGACATGTCCCAAGGTAGTGAAATTCTGGTCGGAAATAGAGACATTAATGACAGCAGTCCTAGAGAGACCAATACACAGAGACCCATGGACATTTTTATTAGCCAAACCACAGGATGACCTGACAACAAAAGAACAGAAACTAGTTAACAAACTGACCCTAGCAGCCAGAAGAGCACTGACCCAACAATGGCTAAGCCCCGACATGCCCCCTATGAGCAAAGTCATTCACAAAATACAGGACAATTTCACCATGGACAAATTGACAGCGCAGGTACGGAACACCATGGGCACTTTTTCAAAGGTGTGGCAACCGTGGGAGGAATATCAAGAAAGAATGGCGTGCACACCATGAGACACTAGAGCCAACCAAAGTGACACCCACCACTACACACATATGCAGTGTGTCCCCCCTTTTTTTTTTTTTATGGCCGCTGCCTCCCCGCCCTTCCCTGGCACGCAAACTAATCCCGTCCTCCTCTCTTCCCGCCTTCTCCCCACAGAAAAGGGCAATTATGCACGGAAAATAAATAAAGAGGTGGGATGAGGGGGGGCTAACACACAAGCCCAAAGTATTATAATCAATCTGAAACCAGGGGGGCTCGCAAGAGCAAATTACTAGGTATCTAACACGCTCTTCACAAAGGGGACTTACAGTCACGACAAAGGGTAAATGTATGGTGGGAGGAAGACGCAGCGGAGGGCAGATAAGAAACAGTCAGCACAAACACGGCCCACATAAGAAAAGTAATGCTACACTCAGGTGCCCATAGTATGGGGGCGGGGGGTGGAGTGGGGAGGGAGAACAACAATAACTACGAGACGAATAGAATACCAGGTCATGACACTAAGTTGTAGAAGTTCGAGTTACTTTAGGAAAACACCAAATAGGGTGTTTCCAGGTTTTGACGTTGATTGCGTGTACAAAAAAGGAAAAACGCTGATGGACTGCAGCTTCAGTCAACAATGAAGAAAGCAAGAGCTGCCGCACAACAGATGTATACTTAACCAAATGATTAGATTTTTCCAGTATCACTGAAATACCAATGTACCTCTTGCTGCTAGGCTTATGCACAAGCCCCAATAATGCTTTCAAGCTGTAATGTCTGTCAAAGCAAAAATAAAGAATTATAAAAAAAAAAAAAAAAAAAAGGAGGGAGAAACATGGCCGATTACGGCGGCGTTCAGAATTCGGAAAGCCCCGACCGCCCCAGCGGACGCGCCGAGAGACATCATAGCCGTTACCCAAGACGTCACAGTCAAAGCGGCACTGATGGCCTCCTCCAGGAAGACCCCCACCGTAGCCATGGACAACCACCACGTGAAAGTTTTCGCTGATATCCCATTCACAACCCTGCTGGAGCGGAGAAAATTTATGGCAATCACCCGCCAACTGAGAGACAAGGGCATCAGATACCGGTGGGGAGCAGCAGGCACACTAGTGGTCCCACAAAAGGACTCAATCCTCACATTGTCTGTGGACGAAAACCCGGCAGGATTCCTCCAGGCCCTCCAGCTGCCGCTGCAAGTACCCACGGACGGGATGGGTGAGACAGAGAATTGGGAGAGCAACACTAGGGCGGAGAGGAAGAGGAGCAAACAGCACTCACACAATCCCCTACAGACCTGAACAAGCAAAAGGCTAACCCACGATAATTACCAGGTGACACTCACTACAACCCACCTACAAGTACGATAGTGGCAGGCAAAGAAACTGCACAAGACTACAAGCTCTATGGCCAGACTGATTTGCTATAAAATAGATGTCTTTTTGAAATCGTAGCCAGTTTAGCACTATTGTTGTCTTAATATCCTAGCATAACGTTTAATACATTGGCTTTTGCTAGATTGATGTTCTTTCCCACCCTCCCCCCCCATGTTCTCTTCTTGCTCTCATCAACCCAGAAGTATGCAAGCATAACCGTATTCTGTAAGCGTTCACTAATACTTTACTAGTTGGCACCCAGGACATGCGCCTAGAAGGACGCACTACCCTATAGTTCAGCATGTCCCCATACTATTAGCCAAATGTCGGCATAACTTAAGTCTGGAAACCTCACTAATTGCACATAGTGTTATGCTGCCTAATAAGCGATACCTGCATCATTTAGGGGGATCGTGCTGGCTTCTTGCTCTATTTAAGCAACCTTAACCTAGACAAGCATTGCTAGCCTTTTTTATTATTACTATTATATGTTTTACTTTACTGAAGTAATGAAAACATTTGTTTAGGGGGCCCGCTACACACAACAGGAATGCCGTTACATTTTTGCTGTAGCTGGCATAATATTGTTAAGCCTGTACACCAAAACAAAAATGCATAATTCTCTATGCCACTGTTTAGCCTGTTTATACATGCGTATACGCTAGACAAGCAGGGTTAGTCAGCTTATTATTCTTATCACATGTTATAGTTCACTGAAACAATGAAAATTTTGGCTAGTGGAGCCCGCTCAACATAAGACAAGAATTATGGTTCCACGTTTCTTAATTTTAGTATCTAATACCTAAACATCAACCAGATTGTATGCTCAGCGACCTTTAGCTGTACCATATTCCATTTCTCCAGTAGCTAGCATAATTCTGTTAAGCCTTTACTCAAAAACAAAAAATGCACAATTGTCTCTGCCACTGTTTAGCCTGTTTATACACACTTGTACGCTGTTGTGGCGTTTGTCAATGTTTTTGTACTCACCTGCGCAACAAAAATAAAAATTTTAAAAAAAATAGTTGATTTGGAGGAAA